TGCGGCCAGACCTCGGCCTTCTGACTCTCAGGCCTGGGTTCTGTCCCTAGGATCTCTCTGGGCCCAGCTTCGCACCTCCTTCCTGAAACACTCATCTTGGAGGGAGGACCTGAGAAGGAACAAGGAAGGTATTTCTAATCCCCCCCTTGGACCACAGAGGCCTGTTGGGTGGTTGCCGTGATAACAAGAGTCAGCGTTCTGACCTGAGGGTGTGGAGGGACCTCTCGGCTTCCCGTGCATGCCGCCTTGTCGTTAGAAGAGCACCATCTGATGGTCTCAGAAGTCTGAGAATGCATGCCCCCCGCCGCCCTCACTCCAGAGTATACCCACATTTATACACGAGGTTCGTGTTTTCCTGTGCAAAAGGCAGAGTCACAGACACTCAGAGGACCTTCATAATCAACTGCCTTTGATGTAGGTACCACTGTGGGCCCCTTTCTCCGTTTTCTCAAAATACACATCACTTCTAAATTTTGCCCCAACTTACTAGGCGTCGGATACTGCGATGGTTTGGGCCGAGTCTGGGTTTCCAGAGAACTGAGCTGAGAGTGGGAGGTTCCGAACCAAGTGGAGACAGTCATCCATGCCCTCGAGTGTCATTGCTGCTGGGGAACCAAGCCCCCCCCCAACCCGACTTTCAAAAACATCTTCGTAGTCTGTTTACGATGAATTGAATTTCTCTTTCCAGAGCCAGTATGTTTTGAGCAATGGAAGGTCATTCTCTTTGGGTTTCTGTTTCAAATGAAACATTACTCATGGAAAAACGGGAATGTTTTAGAGTACTTCCTAGAGGGCCACCGGGTAAGAAAAGTTGTGTCTGTGTCTGCATGGGACACTCAGGCCTAGGAAGTCAGGATTTCCCCTGCCGCCGTAGGACGAAGCTGAGCTGTCCAGAGTCAGTGTTGGTGTCTGTGCCCACTTAGTCTGTGATGTGTTCCGTGTTCATATCGTTAAGTTCGCTCTTTAGGTTTGGTTTGGCAGTTGAGACCAATGTTGGATCAGTCTTCAATATCAGAATCTATTTGTGGATTCTGGGATGGGCCAGGTGATGGCTGTGTGTTAGCTCCGGTGTTTGTGTTGGGCAAAAGACTACAGTTATCTACAATCACCCGACATATACAGGTAGAGTCTATAAAATATTTTCTAAGTCACTTAATAAGTCTACCCTTTGGGTTTGATTTACCTGTTATCTTTATGAAGGAAGCATACTGTTTATGCTTGGGAGAATAACAATGCCTCCCAAAATGTGTGCATCCTAACCCCTTGAGCCTGTGACTATGTTAGGTTATGTGGCAGAGGGAATTAAGGTTGCTAATCAACTGACTTAAATGGGAAGATTATCCTGGGTGATCTTGGTGGACCCACTGTAACCACAAGGGTCATTAAAAGTGGAAGAGGGAGGCGGGAGAGTCAGTGTCAGAGTGATGCAACCTCAAAGGCTCAGCTGGTCACTGACGGCTTTGAGCTTCAGGAAGGGGCCATGAGCCAAGGGATGAATGCAGCCTCTGGAAGCTGGGGCGGGCAGGGATGTGCGTTCTCCGGAAAGGGACACGGCCTGCCCACATCTTGATTTTAGTCCAGCGAGGCACTTGCCAGACTTCTGACCTCCAGAGCTATCAGGAAATAAATCTGTGTTGTTTTAAGCCAGTAAGCTGGTGGCAGTTTGTTGTAGCAGCAATAGAAAACGAATACACTGTTCTGTGTATTGAAGTTAAAGTAGGTGCAGATTTTTAAACTCTCAGAGACATCCTGAGGTAACACACCATGCGCGGCAGTATCTTCTTCGAAACTGTCGCATGAGGCACTGTCCATCACAACATCACACGCTTGAGTGGATGCTCCCAGTGGCGTCACCTCCTTTTACAGCCTGGCCGTCAGTCTTCTCTCATTGGTAGATCTCGGCATCCCAGCCCGGGTTCCTGTGCGATCCCGCCCACCTGGAAACAAGCATCTAGACACATGTCAGAGCGGCTGTTGGTGAAGTTACCAGAGAACTGGGCTAAAACTTTCTAGTCTGAACGCTTAGTGGGAAGTGAAACTCGAAAGCAGATTCAAATCAGTTCGAGAGCAGAGGAATCGGGAAGTTCACGCTGTAGAGGATGGAACGTCTTGTGAGATGTAACTCAAGCCTGTTTGTACATCTATTAAAGAAATAGTGGTCTCTTGACACACACCGTAACTCTTGACAAGTATTAGCTGAACGTCCACCCAAGTTCACTTGTCCAGCTGTAGTGATGGGTTCAAGAGCAATAGGACTGACAGTTTTTGAAAGAGGTCAGCTCTTCTTCAATAGGGCTTCTGAACCCAGGCCAGAGATCAGGATTCTAAGAGCAAAGTGAGTGAACGATGTGGCACAGCCTGGCCATCAGTGCCTGCCTGGCACCAGGGAGTGTTGGCACAGAGGCAGGCATGGACCACTGCAGGGTGAGCCTGGGGAGCACTGTGCTGGGTGAGAGGCCATCACAAAAGGCCACATCTTGTATGATCCCACTTAGATGAAATGTCCAGACAGCTAAATCTGTAGAGACAGAGTGTAGACGGGTGGTTGCCTGGCGCTGGAGGGGGTTGGGGAGAAATGGGAAGTGATGGCTGACGGGTGTGGGGTTTCTTTGGGGGTTGATGAGCGTGTTCTAAAACCGACTGTGGCTTTGGCCACGTTACTCTGAATGTGCCCCAACCATTAACGTGTATGCTTTATTTATTTATTTTCGGCTGTGCTTGGTCTTCGTTGCTGTGCGCGGGCTTTCTCTAGTTGCGGCGAGCAGGGGCTACTCTTTGTTGAGATGCGCGGGCTTCTCACTGTGGTGGCTTCTCTTGTTGCGGAGCACGGGCTCTAGGCGCATGGACTTCAGTAGTTGTGGCACGCGGGTTCAGTAGTTGTGGCTCGTGGGCTCTAGAGCGCAGGCTCAGTAGTTGTCGCGCACGGGCTTGGTTGTTCAGTGGCATGTGGGATCTTCCCGGACCAGGGCTGGAACCCGTGTCCCCTGCATTGGCAGGCGGATTCTTAACCACTGTGCCACCAGGGAAGTAAGTCTCCACATGTGTGCTTTAAACAGATGAATTGAATGATATGTGAATTATAGCTCAGTAGAGCTGTTGAAAAAAAAATAAGCATGTGAGGTGACTGCACGACAGAGGCTTACCCACAGCCACGTGGGGATTTGATAAAAGCCACTTACTTCTGAGAGTGCCCTGGAGGTGTGGCAAGTACCTGATTCAGGCCTTGGAGCCGTCACGGTCAAAAAATGCCTCCGCCTTCTTCCCGAAGCTTTTGTTCTTGAATGTCGGTTTTAGGGACGGGTCTGTTGACCAGCGAGTCAGGGGTCTTAGTGGACACCGTCTGTCTCTGTCCAGGACTCCCATTTTCCTCTTCCTCCCGGGTGGGTCCTTGTTCACAGGGATAGTGGCTAGTTTGGTGGACGTGTGACCACGATGCACTTCCACTGCCCTCGGGAAGCATGTGTTCCTGGGGACCTTGCCACGTCCTCAACATGCCTCTGTTAGGTCCCGTCTGTACCGAATGAACTCCTGCACTTACAGAGCTTATGATTCCTTACGGTATGCCTTTTCATAAACAGAGACAATGGTCCGACAGGGCCTGTAGGACACCCATCCTTCAGTTGGGCACCAGTCGGATCTTGGTACCGTTCTGAAGCCTTTTCTTGCTGGATTTACACTCCGCCCGTCCCACCAGCTGGGGCTTGTCCCAGGGCTCATGGCACGTGGGCTGTTGGGGGAAGGGGTCTCGCCGCAGGTGTGTAGGGTTCGCGGGGTAGGGGTGGAGGTCGGCTTGCTCGCTGATGGCAGGGCCAGCACCCAGGCTGCTGCCACAGAGCCATGGCCAGGGCAGCTGCTGACCCTTGGCCGTCCTGGGGGCCCCATGAGCCAGGAGGTGGCGGCCGAGCGCTGTCCTTGATTCTGTCTAGACACCTGGGGGAAGGGAAGAGTTTATTCTCGGGGCCCAGGCAGTCGCTCATTCACGAGAATTGTAGTGATTGCCTTCGTTCACGGAGCCTCCATCGAGGGCACTGTGCCAGGTACTGCATTAGAGGTTAAACGCACGAGGAGGGACAGGCCCATAGTTTAACGGAGAAAAGAGAAAATAACCCTGTGACCCTATGGAAAGTAAGTCTTTGGTAGGTAAGTACAATGAAGGAGTGGGGGGGTCAGTGCCTGGCATCTGCACGAGCCAGAGCAGAGACCCTAGAGCACAGGACCGGGCCGATGGTCTGACCTAGACTTGGCGTCAGACGCCTGGGGTGGAGTCGACGGTGGGTGATGGAAAGGCAGGTTAGAGCCCAGCCTGGAAGGGTTTTTTTTTACATGCCTGGAGTGCCTGTGTGACATGGGTCTGCCCCCAAGAGTGTTACTGAACACCCCTAAGGGCTGGACACTGCTAGGGGCTCAGCTCCATGACAGCCCTGAAAGGTGGGTGTCAGTGTTCCCATTTTACAGCTGAAGACACTGAGCCAGACCTCGTGGTCTGCCGAGGGTCACAGAGCTGGTACATGGCTGCATCGGGATTTGAATCAGCCTGTGTTCCATCTTCTATACCAGGCTTGCATTCTCTCTGGAGAGAAAAACCTCCCAGTGGGAGAAGCATGAAGACTGAAGCCAGGGCATTAACTGTTAGGTTGAAGTGCAGGGAAGTGCCCTTTGCATGGGTCGGAGGTCACGTCCAGCAGCGTTGGGGTCTGAGGAGTGAGGACCCTCTGGGGCAGGAGTGGCCGGCAGAGGTCTCGTGGAGGAGGTGGGGACGGAGCAAGGCCTCCATGTGGACTTGGGATGGATAGAGATGAGGGGAGGGGGAAGGCTGGGAGCTGGGGCTGGTGGGGACCCACGTGACGGGCTGGAGGTGACGGGGTACGTCTGTTCAAGTGGGCACCCATGCAGACCTTGGGAGCCTGGAGGTGATGGCGGTCCGTGCTCCAGGTCCTAGGGAGACAGCTTCGGATTTGACCCTCGGCTTTCTCTGATCCTCCCGTACGTGTCCTCTGCAGGAAACGGGCGAGCAGATCGCTATCAAGCAGTGCCGGCAGGAACTTAGTCCCCGGAACCGCGAGCGCTGGTGCCTGGAGATCCAGATCATGAGGAGGTGAGGGCCTGGTGCACGAGTGCGCCCGGGTGCGGGACCACAGGGCCGGGGGGCCGCAGGGCCGGGGGCCTGGGACGTTGGAATGACTCTGGAGGGAGCTAGCAGGCCGAGCTTTGGGATGTGGAGCAGCAGCCCCAGTTCCGTCTGGGCAAGAGTCATAAATCCCAGTCTCTCAATAAGGACCCCAGCCCCACTGTCCAGAGGGGTGACTTCTGGAGGAGTGGCAGTTACAGCCACCACTTGGCCTTGCCAAGGGCTCTTGGGGGTTTTCTTTGTTATATTAAATTATTTAAAATAGCCATCACAGTGAATTTTCCTTTGTTGGCAAAAGTCCTTTTTTCTCCAGTGTTTCCAATTCCGAGCTGGTTTGTGAGTCTCCCGTGCCCTGAGCCTGTTGCTGCCGTCCGTTCCTCCAGGGTGCCCTCCCAGCCAGGAAGGCATGTGGGGAAGCTCACAGACCGACAGGTCCCAAACAGGGGCTCCCTGCTGGAGCTCAGGGAAAGGGGAGGCGTCCCCTTGTTTGCAGGTGCATGTGCGCGCGCTCGTGCGCGTGCACACACACACACACACACCACACACACATACACACACACACCCCCCCCCACACACCCCACCCCCCACCCCACACCACACACACCATCCCCGCCCAGTGGTGTGAGATCTGAAGTCCCCCTGCTTTCTCTGCCTCAGAGCAGTGCGGAGATACAGGGAGGACTGGCCAAGGGCACTCTGAAGAGAACGGAGCTCTGCACGGGGCGCCCAGAGCTGGGGCTACGGTGCCGACAGGAACGCTGCCCGGGCCCTGGGCGAGTGGTGAGCCCCGCGTCTCCCCGCCCCGCCGCTCGCTCTCCAGGGCCCTCGGTGCCTGCAGGCCGCCCTCCCTCACTGGTTCCCTCCCCCCAGGCTGAACCACCCCAACGTGGTGGCCGCCAGGGACGTCCCCGAGGGCATGCAGAGCCTGGCTCCCAACGACCTGCCCCTGCTGGCCATGGAGTACTGCCAGGGAGGGGACCTGCGGAAGGTGAGGCTGCGGGGGCCGGGCAGGGCGCTCGGGAGCCTTGGGGCGGGGTCGCGGGGTTGCGGGTGCCCGGAGGGCAGGGAGGGGCTTGTCCCTGACATGACGCGGAAGACCCACCAGGTCCGAGCGCAGGGAGAGGCCGGTCAGACTCCAGGACGGGTCTTCCTCCCTCGACACGCTGGGGCCACTTGAGCCCTTAGGTGTCGTCGTGGCCACTGGCCCGGAATCAGAGGGCTCCTCCCAGATGTGGCCGCCCGGGGTCCTGGAGCGGGGCAGGAAGGGACTGGCTTGGGCCAGCTGGGCTGGGGACCCAGAGCCCCACTGACTCAGCTTCTGGGTCCCTCTCCCTTTCTTCCCGCTGCGTCCACCACGTCCCTTTGCCAGAACGCACGCTGCGGGGTGGGTGTCGGGGACCGTTGTGTGTCCCCCTCCCCAGCGATCTCCGGAACAGTGTCACGAGCCGCTGTTACACGTGGCCTCATGTGATTCTCAGCAGCCCGTGACGTGGGTAAAATGGATGGGATCCCGTGTGAAGGGTGGGCCCCGCGGCCCCGAGGGCCCACGTGGGTGTCCGGGCCTCACACAGCTGCAGCAGCAGAGGCTGGGTCACGGCCGGTGGGTCCCAGCCGCAGGCCCCCCTCCGTCTGTGAAGGGAATAGCACCCGGCACACGAGGACCATGAGAGCTCTGGACAGAAGCTGGTTTTGTATTGAAAAGAGGTTGCCTGTTCGTCTCCACCCCCCTCACCTCGCACTCTGGACAAAGGTCTGCATTGTTCGGGGGCGCGGTCAGGATGGCCAGGCAGTTCTTCCATCCGTACTCAGCACTTTCTGGGACCCGGCATCGCGTGCTTTCCCAGCACTCTTCCGGCCCCTCCCACCTTCCCTCTCCAAAGGAGACTTTCCATGAGGGCTGGTGTGCCCGGGTGGCTCTCCCATCCTGGGGGATGGGCTCATCCTGGGGTTCAGGGCAGGATGTGAGCACAGTCATTGGCAACCCGCAGGCCGGGGACTGATAACCGATGACAAATGGGGACCTTGACGACACTTCCATTTTCCCCTTTATCTTCCTAATCTTTGACAGCTGTCTGATTCCTAACTGCCTCTATTTAGGGAGATAAAGCCGTGTCGTTGTAGTTGAGTGGACAGCCCTTAGAGGGCAGCGTGGGAGGGGTGGGAGGTGACCAGCTTACAGAGGCAGAGGACTTTGGACGTCATCTTGTAGGCAGCAGGGAGCCGTTGGCCAGGGAAGACTGACACAGACTTTGGCGTGATTGACCTGGCACGGGGTGCAGGATGGTGCAGGGACGCGGGAAGCGATTGTACCCCACAGGGCCTTGGTCCACGTGGTCACCAGGGCACCTGGGGTGCCCGCGGTCTGTCCTCTTTGTTCTCCAAATGAGGTGGCTCATCTTTTGCATCTCTAGAAAGTTCAGAATCCGCACCTGGTCTGGAGAGACAAGCTTGGCCAGTACGGGAGCGAGGGTAAAAGCCAGAGCTGATTGAAGGAGTGCCGTGTGTGTGCCTGTCGCAGGGAGCGGCTGGCGGACGTGCGCGGGTGTGGGTGTGAATTAACGACGGGGCACCCTGTCGGGAAGTTACTTCCTGAAGTTGAGGCCGGCTTCCAGCAGCAGATGGAGTCCCTCGACAGGCTTGCCAGGGCCAGGAGGGCACAGGGGCTGAGCGTTTGGGCACGAGCCTCAGGTGGACCTGTGTCCTATGGCAGCTCTGCTGCGCAGCGGCCGTGGTGGCAGACGGATGGCTGGACCCCTCCCATCCAGCACCCTCACCTGTGAAGTGGAAATGCCGCCAGTGCTGGCCTGGGCAGGGGAGCGGGAGAAAGGGTGAAGTGAGATGGGGCAGGTGAGGCTGCACTGAGCCCATCCATGCGGCTCCGCCAGGTGCCCGGCACGTACGAAGTGCTCACTGCCCGGGCCCTGCTGTCATCCCCACCCCACAGCAAGGCCGCGTCGGGGAAGGGGTCGGAGGGAGGTGTTCAGTGGCTCCTTCAGGCTCTCGGGAGCAGTGGACCAACTGTGGCTGAGCTCAGATGGGCCTGCGTCCCCCAGGACCGCGGCACAGGTGAGACTCTGAGAATGACTCAGGGTTAGGGTTAGGGTTACACCCGGGAGCGCTTCTAGGAGTTCTCAGATGCTTCCTCCTTCCCCGCCTGGACCGACCCTGCCCCTCCTGCCCGGGCTGGCTGTCCACCCAGGTCCCCAAGGCCCAGGGCCCGGGGAGTGCTCAGACGGCCTTGGCTGGTGAAGGACACTTGTGGGCGCATTGGTGGCTGGTGAGCGCTCCCCCTGACGCCTCTTTCCCCTTCTTGACAGTACCTGAACCAGTTTGAGAACTGCTGTGGCCTGCGGGAAGGAGCCATCCTCACCTTGCTGAGCGACATCGGTAAATCCCAGCCCTGGAAGTCAGGCCGTGCCCTCTGGGGAGAGGCCTCTGGGGGCGAGGAGGGGAGATGACTGGTCCTCCGGTCTCTACGGAGGTGGGGTTGTCGGGGACAGACGGTGGTGGAGGACTGGGGACGGTGGGGATGTCAGCAGGGCCTAGTCGGGCCGGCACTGAACGCAAATAGATTTCCCTTCCTTCCAGACTAAGTCATGAAGTGAACGATGATATATATAGGGTAAGAGATTTCCTTTCCCACTAAAAGCTCCACTCCCTACTTTCCCAGAACAGCCAGTGATGGAGTAGGTTGTCTGTCCTTTGAATGAATTTCATCCCTTGGCAGTGAATTTTTCCACTTCCACACTGGCGGTTCTTTTGCTGGCCGCAGGCTTAGGAAAAACGGGCCTTGTTTATCGCTTTGGTGCCCGTGGTGTCCTCCGAGGAGGGTGTCCATGGCCCTCAGAGAAGGCCTGGCTGGCAGCCCGGCTGGCCTGGGGAGCAGGAGCCTGACCTCAGCCTGCAGGGGTCAGATCCAGTCTCCTTCACCCTGGCGCCTGCTATTATTTAGGGGTAAACCTCCGAGGTTGGTGGTGCAAGGATCTAAAGTTGAGAGGTACCCAGAGTTCATAACTGAGCCTTTGCCCCCAGATTTGGGGAATGACGTCATTTTCATCCCTCTGCCACCACAACCTCTTCGAAGCTGTATTTTTCTTTTTTCCTTCTATGCGTTCAAACTTTCTTTTTAGGAAAATATCAAACATATAGGAAAGTCGGAAGAGTAGTGAAACCCACACACCTGTCACCCAGGTTCACCAGTTGTTACCGTCTCACCATGTCTGTAAAGCTGTGTTGGCTGACGCTTGGCCTGGGAGGGCAGGGGTCCTCTGGTCCCCGCGGCTCCGGGTCTGCCCCCCTCTCACTCTGTGCAAGAAGGAAGTGAGCGGAACCGAGGGATGACATGCTTAAGGTTAGGATCCGAGCGGTCGGACATAGAAAATTCCCTCTCCCCCTGTAGCCAATGTCCCTGTCCTGTGGATGGGGTTCACGGTGAGGGCAAGTTGACCTGGCACCAGTTTGGGGGTTTTTTTTCCAGCTCTGTTGAGGTATAACTGACAGGTAACACATGTAAGTTTCAGGTGTGCAGCGTGAAAACATCGCACCGGTTTTGCGTGACCAGCATGGGCGTCCGTCACCGGCCAGACTGCTTCCCTCGTGTGGGTGTGTGGGAGGTGCCCTCTCTGACTCCCTAGGGTGTCCAGTCCTTAGGCCAAGATCCCACCTGTTCCCTCGACACCTTGCCCCACCCTGGCCCATCCATGCTGTGCTTACACATTTACCTGTTTTTTGCCCCAGTGGCCACATCATCAGTTTATTCTCTGTTGGGTTGAAGGCAGGTTCGGAGGTTGGGGAATATTCTTTTGCTCTTCATGGGCAACTTTGATTTTGTTTCTCTCTGGTTAGAGCTGCTTCAAGTCATTTTTTTGTATGTTATTCCCTCAAATATTGTGCTTCCCCTCATTAGATTATTTGTGCATTCAGTAGATCGTTATTAAGAAAGTCTTTAAATTATTGGCTCAAGCACACGAAACCGTCTACTTCCTCATGCAGCCTTCTACTGCCTCAAGTGACTGTAGTGATATTCATGGAGCCTCTGCTGGTCACGTGTCCCTTGGTGTGGGCACGTGTCACATCCAGTTACCTTGGCCTCCTGCGGTAGCTTTCCTGTGATGCATTCAGGGTGTCTGTGTATAAGTTACATGTAAATCACAGTCATGAAGACAGGAGACTGGTTCACTCCACGTGCTTATGTGGCTCCGTTCTCCTTTCGGTGGATGAGTATCAAAGGTCTTTAGGTCGCTGATTCCCTATCTTTCCTCTCTGTGGCCCCAGGTTGGAAATAATGAGGCTTTGAAGTACTAGTCAACTAGACTTAAGTCTGTGAAGGCCGAGACTTAGTCACTGCTGTGTCCCTGGCATCTGGAACAGCAGTAGTACCTTATGTAGCAGCTTCTTTGTAAATATTTGTCAAACAAATGAAATAAATCCCAAAGGAAATTAGAATAAGGACCTATTTTTTTTATTTAAAAGAACTGCTGTCCACGTATAATTAAATTAACACTCCCAGGTCAAATACCAGCGCTTCCACCTGTTGGCAGTGTGACCTAGGGCACGTTATTTAATTCTTAAGGGCAGCAGCTTTATTTGCTGTGAAGTGGGAACATAACTCACCACGTGAGAACCGTTAGGAGGGTGGAGTGAGGGAGGTGGGACACGTAATCCCAGCACACGCTCTGCTCGCCGCGTTACCGTGCAGTGAGCCCGTGCTCGTCCCTTCCTCCTGTCCTTCCCCCCTGGGTTTGGGTTCATAGCACCCCTTTTAGAAAACCTCCATCGCCCTCATTTGGGTTGTGACCCGAGTCTGGGATCCAGTGAGCCAGGCAGGCGGCTGTCTTCTGAGACGCCCCTCCCCGGAAGTGGCTGCCTCTGGGGTGCCATCAGGCACCTTCGGTGGAGGTTGCTGATAAGCCTGGATTGTACTTTCACTCCCTTTTATGATTTGTGTACGAGATTCATGAAGTTTATTTATTTTGCATGGATGTCGTCACAGAGACCAAGTCCGAAAGTTTTTCTGCGAGTTCATCTAACATAACTCTTTTGTATTCTGGAACATTTCCTGAACCTCTTTTGTTCCAGTTTGTCCCAAGGGCCGGCCGCACATCCCCTTTGTGGAGCTGCCCTGCTGGTCCCTGCCAGGTTGATTTCAGATAAGGGCAGAGCCCCACCCTTGCCTGCCAGGTCAGATTCACGACCTTCTCCTCTGGGTGACACCTACTTGCCTTTAACCTCTTCGGTGCCCTTGGCCTCCCAGAGATGCTCACTCAAAGCAGCGTCAGGATGATAGACGTAGGCGGGATTTTTTCCAGTGAGCTTTATGTTGCTCAAGAAGATCTTGCAGAGTACGCATGAGTGAGTGAGCAGACGCCCGGCAAGCACGTGGGTGAGCCCGTGTCCTGTGCCAGGACGGACAGGCCTGTTAGAATATTGCTCTTACGCTAGTAAGAGGTCTGGGGACAGGTGGCAGAGGCAGCTGGAAGTGTTCTGTCTTCCACGTAAAGCAACCCTAAAATAGCTCCAGGAAGTTGTATCTCAGTGGACCCTATTTAAACAGTGTGCTCGTTATCCTTTGGAAAACATTGCCATGTGTTTCCCTCTGCCAGCTGACAGCAAACCCCTATGCACTCTGGAGGCCCAGGTCTCTGCTGCCCAAAGAGCGGGGACCTGCCCACACCCAGGCTAGCTGGGCGGGACAGTAAGCGATCACCGTCTTAGATCTTAGATCTGCACCCATCTTGATTCTCCAGGTGGCTGGGGTACCATGGTGACCGACCATCCTGTCCTCTAAGCATTCAGGGCCCCCGCTCCCCATTTTGTTTGTGCTCCGTTCTCTGAGTCACCATCTCTGTCCCTGTTAGAGCTGCTCCTAGCAGGCGTCCAGCCCTTCCACCTTACAGGACAGGGAGGGTTCCAAAGGGAACTCAGGGCTTTAGGGAATCAGAACACTGGGCTCTCTGTTTTGTGTTTATGTAATTGTGGATTTCTTTGCTTATTCTGTTGAATACTTACATTCTGACTGCACTGCTGATTATAATAAAAGATGACTACCTGGTCTCAGCAATCCAGGTCATTTGTATATAAAATATATGGAAAGGCGTAAATAACCAGATTAATGAATGTAATCATAATAGAGAAGACAGCTGCTCTCAGTCCTGGCCTCGCTGCCTCTCCAGCTCTGCTGCCTCTGACGAGGGCCTTGCCTCTCTGGAAAACCGAGGTGACTTTCTGGGCCTGCGCGTCTTCAACTTTAAATGAGGCATTTGGGCTGGGTGACCCCTAGGGGCCCTTCTGACTCTGAATATTGCTTTTTCATTGTTCAGGTTCTGATTTTCAGAAAGGTTGCCCAGAATGTCTTTGACATCCGCTGCAGTGCCCCAGCCTGCCTGCTTCCCGCGGTCCTCATGCATCATCTTCTGCCTGGAACCTTGTCCTGGTGCTGTGTCTGTTCCTGCCCCAGCCTGTGTGTCCCTCTCTGCGCCTGGGTGACCGCCCGCCACTTCCACTAGTATTCTGTGTGCCGGGCCATTCTCACGATATCTTTATCCACCAAATCTTTTCCAAAGTCAGGACATTGAACGCTGACCTCCACCCTCAGCTCCATATCCACGTCTACACAACATTTCTACCCAAGTCACTTCCAAATTGAAGTCCTAGACGTTTTCCTTAAAGCCGATCCCTTCCTGACGTCCTCTCTGTTGGGTCACTGGCCCTGTCTTTCTGCCAGCTACCCGACACGGCTGCCGACCTCGAATCTCGTCTCTTCCTACAACCTGCCCTCTTCCTGGTCCTCACCATCCCATTTAAACAGTCTCCATCCAGGGCTTCCCTGGTGGCGCAGCGGTTGAGAGGCCGCCTGCTGATGCAGGGGACACGGGTTCGTGCCCCGGTCCGGGAAGATCCCACATGCCGCGGAGCGGCTGGGCCCGTGAGCCATGGCTGCTGAGCCTGCGCGTCCAGATCCTGTGCTCTGCAACGGGAGGGGCCACAGCGGTGAGAGGCCCACGTACCGCAAAAAAAAAAAGTCTCCATCCTTTCCTTCGTGCTGAGCATCGCACTTTCCCTTTCTGTTCCCACCACCTCTGCTCATTCAGTGTCGCAGCACATCACTTACCTGGAGTCCTTACTCCCATTTTACTAACCCATCTTTCAAGCTTCTGAAAGGATGCTTTCGTCATAATCCACCACTAGATCAAGACCAAACCTCATAGCCTCCCATCTCTCCTGATCCCCTCTAGCCAACTTCAAGACCCACTTTTCCATCCCCCTGCGAGCCTTTGTCCACACGCTCCTTTTTAGAATGCGCTCCGGCCCCTCCCCACCACCCTGCGCTTTCAACCTGACACTCCTCAACCTGACACTCCGTGGGGAGCGCCCTGGCCTGGCGAGCA